CCCTTGCTGATTTTGCAGGTTTGCCCACTTACAAAGAATGCAACGATCTATAACTTTAATCATATGTACATTCTAACAGTGAAAGACAGAATCCCAAAGAAAATTCCAGAAAATCACATCATATGAATTTATAAAAATTGAACGCTGCATATTTGAGCTCAGTTGCTGGTGTGTTTTCTGTCTTCTGATGTAAATGAAGTGAAAATAAGTGAGGTTTCCCACCTATTGCACTGTTTTTATTTGAATTTCACATTTCTGAAATGACTAGCCTGAAAACAGTCTTCATATAAACCAACTCTGTAGAGTTTTACTGAACGAAAAAAACTCTTTTCTCTTTCCAGGTGTAGCTGTTTGACTTAGGAAAGCTGAGATGTGACTTGAGCAGAAAAGGTTGACAAAATTAGCTTTTCCCTTTCTGCCACTCCACATCCCACGTCAGTTTTTCGGAAAAAGAAGGAATAAACTTGAGTTAAATTGATAGTGAATGATGTAAAAGTCTGTACGGAAGCCTTAAAGATCCATTAGCTGCCCACCACGATGAGACCCTGGAAGCCTGTGAGCGGAGGAAAGCAAACTTTACAGAAATAAGAAGTAAGATGTCATTATTTATCATCTCAAATCTGACTTATTCATGAGGCAGAAACAGAATGGAATTCTCGGTTGAATTCTTCCTGAATTATTTAACCTGAAATGGTTAATTCCATACAAAGCCCAGGCACATCCCTCCTCTGTTCTGATAAATACTTTATCACTGTTCCTAAATCAAAAGCAGGAGCTGGAGAGAGACGGGTGGAAAAAATAAAATAAAGTCCTGACTGGTCATGTTGCTTCATTTGAGAAAAAAATGTTGGTTTAAATTGTAGGATTAGCACATTTTCTGTGATTATCACAGATGATGGAAGGATTGTTTTTCTTCTTTTTTGTATGCAGACCTTGAGTGAAAGGTCACCTGACGGATAAAGTGGTGACACTTACTTACAGTCGCCCCGAGAGCGTGTGCGTGGCGTTTTTTTTGCCGGTGGTGAATTCTCCGGCTGTCCAGGCCTAATGAAAAGGGACGCATCGCTGATTGCGGCTATATCCGGAGCCGGGCTGGAAGTGGCATCGATTTAACAATTTAGCAGCACCCTCCTCTGTGTGTTTCCATTAGTCACGGCTGAATACCGCCCACTTTCCCCCTCTCACTCCCTCCAACAAACACACACACACACCCGCCCGGCCTCTCACACACACACACACACACGCACACGCACACAAACACACACACACACACACACACACACAGAGCTCTATTCCACCGCCTCTGTAAAGGATTCATATCGGCTAAAGCGACTCTATCTCCGGTTCCAGAACGGTGGATATCTAACATAACCCCGGAGAACTACGCTACACAATATAGACTTCTTTCTTTTTATTGGGTTTATTTTTTTTTACGTGACTGAGTGCATGTACAGGCCACAGCGTACAGGTGGACAATAGTGTTTGTTTTTCTACCCGTGTGTGCAAAACTGTACAACCCGGCCCAAAGCGTGAGGGGACAGTTCAATCAAAGATCAAAGACGTTTGATCATGGCGGACGTTAACAGGTGGACAGTTTAGGGATACCCCCATTTCCCCCCCACACATGTTTACATAGTGAATATGTCAAATCCAAATCTTTCTGAGACTCTGTAAGTGGATGGCTGATCTCATTAGTCGGAATGGCTCATTCTGAAATGGGTCATGTGACTTTACACGAACATAGGCCGATAAAAAAACATTGTTCAGATGCATTAAAACAAAACAAAGAACAGCTTAGCTCAGTTTTCAAAAGCTTGTGTTTGGACCGGGTGGTGGCCCTTCTGAGAACGTTTGCTAGGTTCTGTCACTAGGGTTGTCACGATATTAAAATTTTCAACTCGATACCGATACTCAGGAAAATATTCGATACCATTTTCGATACCACAAGGATAAAAACAAAGACCCCAAAATGTAACTGAATTTTGACAGGTTAGTGTCTGGTTTCAAACTGACCTGTTACTGATGTTATGGTGGCCCACATTAATGACCCTAACCATGACCCTAACCCTAACCCTAACCCTAAACCTAACCCTGACCCTAACCCTGACCCTCCACCCTTCATAATTGTGAGAAATAAATATTTTTTGGTTAAACTTGTTTGGACTTATTGTACAAACCTATTTAACATACACTATTTTAACATAATATTATGGATAGGGTTCGAAAGATTCATTTCACTATTTTTAAATTAATGTCTATATTGCCATGAGGCATTACCATTTTCTTGCCTAGGATCTTCCTATTGGTGATGTAATCAAAATGGCCGACTTGGATGTGGGCGGAGTTAGATATGTATTTGATTAATGGTAGCATGTTATTATTAGCCATTAGCCGCAGCTAGCAGTTCAAGGCTAACGTCTTGTTAATGACCATAAATGACGTAAAAAAATACATAAATAAATCTCAGAGAAGGGGGGGGGGGAGTATCGATACTTTT